CTCCTTATGTTTTGACAATAGTTATCAGTGTGTATTACGATCCCAATGGAATAAAAGTGAGTATCAAGCAATTTTCTGTCCATGTTGTAAAGTAATAATAGAAGAGGTAAGAAGTTAAAGCTTACAAATGCTAGAACAGCAAAGCTCACATCTTAAAACCAAACAGCACCTGAAACTAAGTTCTTTACTGAGGTTTTATCTTTGACTGAATTTCAACATAATGGAACAGTATATTGCTTATTTTGTTTAGCGGCTCAACTTTTTTTGTTTTATAAACAGTGAATGGACACAATCAACTACTACAATTATAATGACAGACTGTGAATCTGACTCTCCACTGTCTTGTCCTTGTATAGTAAACTGCACTTGTACAGAATCTGTGCAAACAGATACTTATATTCTGATTTGGCACTGCTTTAAATCCACAGTGGGCTCATTTTGTACGTATATAAATAGCTACACAGGTTACAAAACAGTGGAGGCTCAAGCTCTGTAGTTAATGGTCAGCTAGGACAGAACACATCAGATAGGAAACTGGTTTAGAGCCTTAAGACTCAGTATGCAGAAACACCATTTTCTGCAAGATGTTTAGTAAAAGGTTCTGTGTTTTTCCTCTAGGTATTTAATTTGAATGAATAAATAAACAAGCACACAAAGATAGCTGACAAGGTTTATGGGAAAGACCTCAAGGCAGCAGCTGATCTTTGCTATGGAAAGTTTTATAAAAAATAAAGCAGCCATTATTGCAATAATATTTTCTCAGATTTCTCCTGTCTAACTGACACTGCAAATAGCTACAGATTCATCAAGCTTTCATAAACATACCACTAGGTGGCTGTGGATTTTTTCACTTCAGATTTAACTAAATCCCAAAGGACAGGGACTTTCAATCTGCTGGAATTAAGCGAAATTAGAAACAAATTTTATTAGGGCACTTAATACTTACACTGCCTTTAGACTTCCGAGATCCCGCAATTGGAGGTAGTGCAGAGGCTTTGGAACTGCAGAAATAAGCCATATCTTAGAATTGCGTATGCTGTCACTACCACCACAGACACTATGCATCAGTCAGATAATGTCAAGTTGGCTATGGCAACAGAGTTAATTCTTTTATTCATTGTGTGTTTTTATTAACAAATACATTACATTTCCCCACAATGCATACTTCATGTATCGAAAATTTGCAGAGCAGCATTCAGTGAATTACTGTGTGAGAGAACTCAACAACTATTGTAATGAAAAGTTCCAGCAATGAAAAAAAATAATTGGTTTACATCAATTGGTCAACAAAGCTTTTCATTGTCCTTAAATTTGTTTGCTGGAAAAGCTGTTTCCTGAAACACTTTCAAGTTATTTACATTGTCTACAGCTGCTAACTAAAAACAAAAAAAAAATTAAAAAATTTAAAAAATTATACACCAGTCTATACGCAGAATATGGGACAAAAAAAAAAACCATCAACAAATTAAGCCAAATCAAAATAATCCTTTCTCTGGAATTAATTTTGTGCTACATGATCAATGGCATGTTTATGAGGTGAAATAGTCTTCTGAATTTCCATTTTCTCTTTCATTTTCATCTTCTGAACTTTCTCAGAAGTTGTCAATAAAATTTTGTATCCCTACTAACCCACCCATCTATCCTTCGTCCATTCCTCATTCCTGGAATGATGATTTTGTACTTTACTAGTGGTACTTTGTAAACATATTGACACACACAGGCATGTGTGAATTAAACCACACACCTATAGAACTTACCCCTGTGGCCTTCTCATTATAGATTTGCTAAACAGCAGATCACCATACGGCAACTTCTTAAACTTTTCTCTACCTGCTGCAACATAAATTTGCCCATTCTCCAAGTCTGACCCATTCTGAACAAGTTTTCCATGTACAGTGTAAAGTCTGAAAAATAGGAAAATGCTTAATAAACCTTAACATTGTTAGGTGCATTAAGAGAGTTGTAAATTACATTAACCTAAGCACACTGTATCATGTTGAATTTCCAAATATGAAACGAAATAAAGTATAGGAAATGCCATACAACGATCAGTCACAATACAAAAAAGACAAGGAAAGACACAGCAAAATAATGACCTAAATCATAGTTTATGTAAAACTAATGAAATATGAAGAGCTATAAAAGATGAAATACTCTCATAATGTCTAAAATTAAATAAATTACTTTGTACTTAGAAGGTCTTTAATGTCTTTGTCCTGACTCCTTGGAAGGGATCTACTCCATGAGTCCCTGACCCCTCCCATAATAAGTTCTACCTCCTATCTGTGCTCTGGTCATTTATGGCTACTTGAATGCAAATCCAGGACCTGTCCACCTAGCACAGCACGTACAGAATGACCAGGCAATCAGGCCCAGTCAGCGTGGTTTTATTAAAAGCAAGTCCTGCATGACTAACCTGATCTCCTTCTATGACAAGGTGACCCACTTAGAGGATAGATGAAAGGCTATGGACACTGTTTCCCACAGCATTCTCCTGGAGAAACTGGCTGCTCATGGCTTGGACAGGCATACTGTTTGCCTAGTAAAAAACTGGTTGAATGGCCAGACCCAAACAGTTGTGGTGAATGTAGTTAAATCCAGTTGGTGACCAATCACAAGTGGAGTTCCCCAGGACTCAGTACTGGAGGCAGTTCTGTTTAATGTCTTTATCAATTATGTGGACAAGGGGATAGAGTGCACCCTCAGGAAGTTTGCAGATGACACCAAGTTGGCTGGGAATGTTGATCTGCTTGAGGGTGGGAAGGCTCCGCGGAGGGATTTGGAGAGGCTGGATCAATGGGCCAAGACCAAGGTTCAACAAGGCAAAGTGCCCGGTTCTGCATTTGGGTCACAAGAACCCCATGCAATGGTGCAGGCCCGGGGAAGAGTGGCTGGAAAGCTGCTCGGTGGAAAAGGACCAGGAGTGCTGACTAATGGCCTCGGAACATGACCCAGCTTGTGCTCAGGCAGCCAAGCCAGCCAGCGGCATCCTGGCCTGTATCAGAAACAGTATGACCAGCAGTACCAGGGCAGTGATCATCCCCCTTCTTGGCTTTAGGTGAGGCCACACCTTGAATGCTGTGTTCAGTTTTGGGCCCCTCACTGTAAGAGAGACATTTTGGTGTGGGAGCCAGGAAGCTGGTGAATAGTCTTAGAGCACAAGTCTTATGAAGAGCAGATGAGGGAACTGGGGTTGTTCAGCCTGGAGAAAAAGAGGCTGAGGGGAGACCTTACCGCTTTCTACAAATACCTGAAAGGAGGTTGTAGTGAAGTAGGAATCAGCTTCTTCTCTCAAGTAACAAGCTATAGGACAAGAGGAAATGGCCTCAAATTGCACCAGGGCAGGTTAGACTGGATATTAGGAAACATTTCTTCACCAAAAGGGTTGTCAAGCACTGGAACAGGCTGCCCAGGGAAGTGGTTGAGTCACCATCCCTGAAGGTATTTAGAAGATGCATAAATTTTGTGTGTAGGGACATGGTTTAGTGCTGGACTTGGCAGTGGTAGGTTAAAGGTTGAACTTGCTCATCTTAAAGGTCTTTTCCAACCTAAATGATTTTCTGATTCTATGATCTTTGTGACCCTTTACTGTGCTTGCTCCAGTGTGTCCATATCTTTCTAAAGTTCCCCTCATGAAAGTACCTTGCTTTTCTAGGTGCTTCCTGCCATATAAAAGTACCTTGGATTTCTAAGTGCAAAGACTGAAAGTTCTAAAAAGTGAAACGGCAGCTTTTTAAAATCTTGATCACATTGCTGCTTCCTTGTGAAGAAGTATGCCAACTCTGAAGCACCCTCTTTGTATTACATACATTTACTTTTTAGTGCAAACATTTCACAGGCATGCCAGCAATTCAAAGAGCAATTTATGTTTTACAACGTCAGCTACACACAGAAATGAAAATAAAACTATCAGTCTAAAAATCAGCAATAAACTTATTTCTGGATTAACCTGTTTTGCTCAATTACATTTTGCTTTGGGGAACTCAGAGGATAAAGCAGCAAATCAATGTGCCACAGTTTAAGAACTGTCTTATATATTTGTATGGTGCTGCAGGTATGCAGGGGTACATACAAACACGACTGTGGGGTTTTGTTCTCGATCTTGCACTTTGCTTGTATTTTATTATTATATTTAATGCACCAAAGTTGTTTAATATAACTCCTAAAAATGTTATGGATTATCTGGCAATTTCTAGTTGTATTTTTCACCCTGAAAATAAAAATAATGATAACTGAATCAAACATAATCAGCCACTGAAGATGAAGGTGAAATTAAAAATGCATTTTTAAAAAATGGCACTTCAAACACATAAATAACTATTGACTTAACAAGCATCACAAAACTTTTGTGACACTTAGTTCTGAAGTCTTTTACCCACCCACCTGACCACAACCATTCACAGACCAGCTGGGTTCTCTCTGGCTACTATTACACAACAAAGACGTCCTTGTGGTCACTTCTTCTGGTCACTGGGGGATGACTTAGGACTTGTCCTGTGGGATGTCAGTGGACTTCCATTTTCCCTCCTGAATCCAAACCAAAAAGTGGCAGCCAAAACAAAGCAAGCATACAGGCTGACAAAGGAGACAGCAAAGACACAACCTGTGGGACCAATATTCCCAAATTCCCAGTTGCCAATGCACCAGGTACCTGCCCCATCAGGTTGCTCTACTCCATCCCCATGCACAACCTGACAAGCAGAAAAGCTACTTTGTCATGTCGTACTTACAATCTTATTCTAATGCAGACGAACAATTTTTTTTTTATTTCTTTTTTAAAGCTACATATGAAACTGTGGGACTTGGCAGCTTTATATGCCTTTTAATAAGATGGAAAAGAAAAACTGCCATATACATAATGCAGGTTCTTGTACTTCCACTTACTCTTCTTTAATGAGAAATTACACCTTCTCAGCATCAGTGGTCTTACAGGAACTCCTCTAATGCTAACATAGCTTCAGTAAACCCCAGCAATTAATGTGTAACTTATTAAAGAACAGTAATTACTTGACTATTGTATTTAATACGTATTCCTAGAATTTTAAGGAAAAATAAAATGAAAACTGAGTTAATAGAAAAACAGAAAAAGGAAAACATTAAATAATTCAAAATATCATATACATTATCTCATTTTAAGGGATTAAATCTGAGCACTGAAAGGAACCTCCCAAAAGCAATCCTAGTAATGTATGAAATGATTTCTGCTTTCATGTACTTCATACAGTTTCACCAAGGAGTGACATCAAGTAATGAGAATAAAATATGAAAGGCTTTAAATTGCTAAGCAACCTAAGAGCAGAAAGAATTGGTATGTTGTAAACCGCTGTCACCTTGCTCACTTCTGAGCTATACTAGCTGTGAATCAGATCCAGAAAACTGCAACATGTGTGTAAGTTTAGTTTGCTGCAAGTAAAAGTGCTAAGTAGACAGATAATAGGAGCAAAGAAATGCAGGGCTGAGGGGAAAAATTAGACAAAAGCTAACAGTCGACAGATAGCGTTACCTTCATTTCATCAGTATCAGCTCTGGGAAAGCAATCAGAAGAATTAAAAAAACTACCTTATCTTCACTGATTTGAGAAAGATTTTGCAAGCTTAGCCTCAGACATTGTGCAAGCTGTGAAGAATGATTTTCCATACTAGGCTCTTTCCCATCTGAGGAACAGATTTCTGTAATGTGCTCTGCATGGGGCAGCACTGGAATGTCGGTAATTTGCCTGTACGCACCTTGGCAGCCCATTTACACAGCAATGTTTCTCATGGAAACTGCATATATCATTTTCTTCTGAAACTTGCAACAACTACCTTACGCTACTTTAGAGAGCTTATTTTACATTGTAAAAGCCTCAAGGGACTGAAACTTACCTATCCAAGAGCTCGCCTCCTATTCCTGGGAGACCACAACAACTCAGCCCAGCTGAGATACTAGAACTGACAAACCCCCAACTACAACTTTGGCCTTGGCTCTTACTAGAAGGCTGAGCTGGCTGAGTATAAAGCACATCCTAGTCATAGCACAGGTCTTCAAAAACCAAAGAATCTGTAAGATTTTTCTTGAAATTTTTTGCCCCAATGAATTTAAGTATCAATATTAAAAGGAAACATGGATAGCATCGATTATTGCACATTACAAACTTCTTCACCAACTTTACCATACTCATTTATTTTATTCTGACATGTAACTTATTTATTAAGACTAAATATATTGCATTATTATTGTATTATTAAATGCCTGTAACTAAATATTTAATCAAGAAATAACAGTTGAAAAAAATTGAGTCATTTGTGTTTTTAAATAGCAGTTGAAATGAAACCTGAAGGTTGCTTGGAGTCAATATATTTCATTTTGTGACTTCTACATGTATTTTAATTTTCTTATAGTGGAATTTCCCATGAAGAAGAAATGATCCATTATATCAACCTACAGAGTTGTAAAAAACATATCTACACATATCAAATTTATCTTAAAAATATTCAGCTTCCTGATACCTGTGAACAGCCCCATTTCTGAGGGTAACTTTTCCTGTAACCATTTCAAGAATATGATCCCAGTGATTCAGTGTTTTCCTGGGAATGAGGAGGCGTACTACAGGGCTAATGAGGTCTCCATTAGCAATCAGGCTGAAATAAAAGTAAAATAATTTAGAAGTGCATTTTAAACAAAACTAATCAGAAGTTAAGACCTCCCACCCCCCACCCTGTTCACTAACTGAAAATTCTACTCACAAAATAGTGTAGGGCTCCTGGAGTGGTTTTCGAAACCGCGCTGACACAGTGATTCTACTGTGAGTAACAGGCTTGACCTGCAAGGAAAAAAAGAATTAGAAATTACTCAGTCTTCACATCAGGAAAGAGTTTGCCTCAAGGGGGGCAGTGTATCTGCAGAAAGACACTCCTGTTTTTAAACCATGCATTTTATTCCCTTCCAGCTTCACCTTCTACAGAGCATATGCAATTACTGCTGCAGGTTTACATACGTCTTGGATAGCAACCACAGCATAGTATACCACAGGGCAACATGGCACAATGTATGGTTTCCACTGAGAGGTCATGACTGTCTGGACATCTTTGGTGACTTCTCAGTTGTTGTTCCTAGAGACCCAAAGCAACACTGCCAAACACTAGTTTTGCTTTCTTAGTCTTTACTGCTCATGGCCCAAGCAATTAAACCATCTTCTCTTTTTAACAATAAATGTCATCTACAGATCTCTCTGCTAGTATGTAATAATAATAATTACGTAATAAGAGTACTTATGTAATAAGTACTTTTCCTCTTGTACAGGTCTTTTCATCCAAATCTATCAGTCATTTATAAAGGTTGCTGAATACTATGCTTATTTTAGGGTGATGACTCACAAGTGAGGTGAACTGCAGATTTTTAGCTCTCAGAATAAAACATGGCTATTTCCATCATTATTCCTTGTACTACTTAGAGGAGACACTCTACTGAGATCAAAAAGGTGGGTCTTCTACACGAGGAGAGAAGCAAGAAAGATGTTACTGCCACATTGTGCCAACAATGTGGACCAGACTAGGAAGCAGGCTCCTGGAATGAATGGGGACCTTCCCTTTATGCAAGCAATTTACTAGGCAGTGTATTACTTCTTAAGAATTATTTCATAGATACATGTTTGTCTTGGCCTCATACAATGAGCAATTTTGTACTAGACTGTACATATGCTATGTCTTAATGCCTAACATAATTGCAATTCATAGACTTGCTGTTAATTCCAGTATGCTCTGAATCAGGTGGAAGGTTCACACCTACTACTACAGGCTTGGAAAGAGAGCAAGAGGAGAGTAAAAGATTGTTATCATACATCTCACTAGGGGAAGCAAAGAAATTTTTTTTTAAGACTGCCAAATAATTTAGGAGTTCAGCCGTTCTTGCACGAACATTTAAAGCACATTTTTCAGAGCATAATTGTCATTTAAATCACCAAAATTTGAGATGAAAGTTTATTAAGTGTCTAGGAAGAAAAAGAAAACACATCTTAAGCTGAAACATCTGAAAACATTTCTATTGGTGCTGTCATCCATCAAGGTTATTTGCCCAAAAGGTAAGGAATTTAATAGAGGGCTTCAGAAGACAGAAAAAATAAGATAACTTTCTAAAAAGTATGCTACTGAAGTGTAAGACAATACTGATTTACTTCCATAGTAGCAGGTCCTAACATTTAGACTCCAAACACAGGTTGCATCCAAACCAGGAATGATTTAACTTTGGCTGGCCGGTACACCTTTCTGCATAGCTGCTAGACTGCCAGGATAACCCCCTATAAGGTATTCAATATATAACTAGTAAAGTCTTACATGGCTTTTTCTAAAGTTTGATTTCTTATCCATACTTATGCTGTTGATACCTATGCTCAAGCTCTTATATGCTCCAAACAGTCCATCAAATTAAGTTCTCTGATCCAGCCTGCAACACTCAGGTTCCAGTGCTCCACACTTTAATGGGACTAGTTAGGAAGCATTCACTAAGCATGAAGGAACACATTAGGATAGTCTCAGGTGTGCCCAATTATTCAGTTGTTCTTGCAAGCTGATGAAACCATTAGTTCTGAGGTAGGCTCCTCAGAAGGCTATCATGTTATTGCATGCAGCCCAATCACCCGGCCCCTGACAAAACAAGCAGCCTGACATGTTAAGTGCTCATTTATTATTCAAAGGATTGTATTTCTGCCAATAATAGATACTGTGGCATCAGCTTTCTGACAAGTCTCTTTTGGGTTACTCTCTCAGAGCATTAATATTTCTAGCAGCCTCTTGTGGTCTAACAAGTCAGCCCTGTTCTTAAACCAGTAAGCTGCAGGGAACTGTAAGATGCGACCAGCTTGGGTGGACAATATTCGTCTTTTCTACATAAACATGGTCTAAACCAAAATAAAACACAATCTTGTGTTGTTTTTGTGTTTGTTTGTTGATTTTGTTTAAATCAAATGTACCTGTCTTAAAAGATGAAAAGAATACCTTAGTGCAATATTACATTTGCTCATGTAACACCACAGAAATCAGTGCATAGAAACACTAATTTCATAGTGTTTAATAGTGTCATAGTCACTATTAAAACAGCCACAAATATTTACCACAGTGCACAGACCAGACTTCAGTTTCTGGGAGCTTAGAACAGAGTAGCCTGGAGCAGATGCTGCACCACAGTGGCACGCAGCATTGAAGAGCCTTTTGCCACACCCAACATGAATAGCAAGGGCAAATGTATTGCTCTTGAGATCCACGTGCTCTTAGGCTTATGTTTAGGCTATCATTGTTTGTATGGATAATGAGGGGTAACTAGTGTCTTTGGGACTGCTTGGCTTCTGAAGGTACATTTTACACCTGATCTGCTTTCAGGGGACAAAAAGAAATATAAACTCTTGATATCCATCCAGAACACAGGGACAACACTGATGCTGCAAATGAGAGGAAAGGAGGAAATAAATACATCAATTATAAGAAAATTAAAAAACAAAACAGAACAAAACACAATAAAACAACAGAGGGAAGTGCCTGCACAGGGCACTGCAAATGAGCTGTGTAAAACATCTCTAATTTTGAATCTGGCAAGTACGCAGATATACAAGCAACTGCCACATAGTATAATACAGTATTCCATGATGCACGAGAGATAAGTCTTACAGATACGCAAAATACGTTCTGACTACAGAACAGTATATCAAGCTCTCCAACTACAGCAGTGCAAAACTCAGCACAAGCAACTCTAGCCTGCTGTGAAGCCACTTGTTTAACAAACAGTTTGGATCTACACAGCACTGCAATTTAAAACAAACCAACAAACAAAACCCACCACCCTATATACCACTCTTCTAATTAATGTGACTGTCCTGTTGGTTTTGGGGGGGTTTGTTGCTTTTGGCTTGGTTTGGGGCTTTCTGGCACAAGTTACTGCCTCTTAGAGTTTAGAACAATTTCTGTCAGACCAATGTTAAATTATTTACGGTTATGAAAAGCAAGACACATAATTTCAATGCACAGAAATATATATTAATAAAAGACCAAGTGCCCAGCTACTGTAAATCAGTCTAGTTCTTCTGAAGTATATGGAGTTATGCCAAACCACCCCAGCAGAAGACCTGATCAAGGATTTAATTAAAGAATTCATGGTTCTTCTATTTCCTTTGTAGGAGGTACCACAGTGTTGCAGTGTCTGGAATAGCCTGACCCTTCTGGCACTGCAGAGTTACATATTAACAGTGAAGCGGTCTTGGGTGAAAAGTTTGTGCTTACATTAAGGGACCAGCATCACTACCCCCCTAAACCCTTTATTTTCTTTTAATTTCACCAGCCACATTCTCCGCCGATGTGAATCAGCACCTTCCTATTTACGTCAGCAATTGTACATTAATCAATGGTCTGGCCCCATTATGATTTTATCTTTGAATTTCGTACATTTTCAGTTTGTTTGAAAAGACCCATTCAAGGGCAGCTTCCATACCCTACTAACAAACGATGCCAACATTTCATTATTTGTGTAATAGTTATTACACAACAACATATAGCAGCAACACAAAATATTTAGAGGAAGGAGAAAGCATTATACCAGTTGAAACTCAGAGGGAACTTTAAGCAGGGGGCAAGCAATCAAATAAGAATTTGCAAGGCAACAAAGAGCTGAGCACAGCTGGAAATACTCCATGGGATCACAGACACCCAAAACTACCATAATTTTTACCTTTCTATTCTACAATGAATTTGTTATTTCCCACAGTGCCTATTACACCAACTGTAGTGTCGATGATCCTTGCTGCAGAGAGGAGTTACTTCCTGCCAAATAACTTTGCAAAGCGCCTTGCAGAGTCTGGGAAAAAAGAAGCAGCTAAACTCAACACAGGCTAGGTTCTGGGAGTGGGCATCAATCTGCAGTGTTTGAGATCTCTGTAAACACCCAAATTTCAGAATACAGTTTACAAAGAGTCTCTTAGAGCCCCGCTTTTCGCTTCAGTTGGAATTCACTGTGATTGAATTTGTGCTGCTTTATGTTAGCTGCAGCTGAGTACCTTCTAACATCCCTTTGAAAATACAAATCCAAGGTGCAGATCAACATCTACCTGAAACATGGTAAAAAAAATCCACAACCTCACAGCTGCTTTATAAAAACATTTTATATATTTTTCACTTATACTAGAAAAATTTGCTCAATATTCATAAAATTTAACAAACACAGACAAAACATTTAGCAAACACATACAACATATTGCACAATATATTTCAGGATACTTACATCTTCCACTGTTGACTGTGGGCAAAAAAAACAAAACAAAATGATCAGCAGCCAGAACATTACCTCAGGTTTATCTATCACATGTACGCATATGAAAAACACTTCTTATAAGAAAACCGTTTTGAATTAGTGTGTGCATATCCACATGCCTATACATGTATATAAAGTGTGCACATGCATACATATATACAGCAATTTAATATCATTTTCATACAAAAATTTCTGTTTATGTTCATCTGACCACATGAAGATCAACAAAAACCGTGTTATTCCTTTTTAGAACACTATCAATGGGAGTGCTCTAAGTCAAAGTGGGAAGAGAATGTTACATATATGGCATTACAGGGAAATCATCATTAAGAATGTGTGGGTTGCAAAGACTGAGTAACCCACACATTGGTTTGAAATGCAGATAAAAAAAGAATATTTTTCACTTCTTTGTTCAGAAATGTGTTAACCAGTAAAAAGTAAAAAACATAATCCCTAAAATGGAGATGTAGCAAAATTGTATATTTTGGTTGGTATGAACCTATTAGTTGATCCCAACGCAAAAAGTTTTTG